AAAAAAAAAAAAAAAAAAAATTGATATGTTTGAGAAGCAGAAAAAGAGTAACTTTTTGTATTTTACTTTTTAACTTCTCTAATTACATAGTAATACAAACCAATTTTAACTTTTATGAGCAAAACTAATGTGTCCTTGGTTTGTTGGCAGTTTTATAATTTTATTAATTTTGAGATTCAATACATATTATTTTTAATTTGAAATAATCACTGTGAATATATTGTCTTAAATAAATATTTATTAATATCATCATTATTATATAAGTGTAAATAAATTTTACAATATGAGCAATAATAATAATAATAATAATAATAATAATAATAATAATAATAATAATAAAAAATTATGACATCGTTGTAATCAGTGTTGTTTTTAGTAATATTATAGGCATGTCAATGGCTGATTATTAAGCATATTACAAATACAACAAGTTTGACACTCGAAGATGTGATAAAATCTGTCATTGATTGTTTAAAGTGTTATTAAAATCAAATATGGAAGAAGAAGAAGAAGAAGAAGAAGAAGTAGGACTAATGCATAAACTTTCAACGCAGTTTCAATTGGGTCGTTGTACTCTAATTTAATTTCAAATTTCACTAGTTTTGTCCCTAAATGTGACCTTAAAAGTGATGGAAATTACTTAGTTGGCATCGTAAGATAGTTATTCTTCCAAGTAATCACTACTTGGTACCCTAAAAATGAAAATGAAAATGAAAATGTATAATGAATATTATGATAAAATGTTAATGGAGTATTTTTTATTACAATAGTTTTATGACATAATATAGTGCTAAATTGGTACAACACACATCAGTACGTGACATTCATCAATTTAGGAGATGAGGCCACTGAGCACCAACTTTATTGTAATTCGGTGACTCAAATAAATTAAAGTTAACTAATAAAAATATAAATTAAAATCAGATAAAATTTACTTGCCTTGAAGATAGTGCACATTCAGTTGTTTTCTTTATTCTATTTCTCTTTAATGCTTTACGATGGTAAAGGTAATAATAACTGTCGGCTCTCTTATGTTTCTAGGATTCTCAGTGGAAAACAATTTTTAAAAAGTAGAATTTTACCTTAGAGGGTAAGTATTTCAAGTGATTTAGCCACTTTTGTTGGCATAGAAGTTTCTATCCGATAATTGAACCAGGAGTTTGGCTTTGTCCTTCATCAGTTTATCAATATAAAAATAATGTACAAAGAGAGAGGAAAGTTAGCCATTGTTTGGTAATCTAGATTTTAATCCTAGGTAAAGTTAATAATTACTTTTATGAGACCCACAACTTTTCAACGAGACATTTCATCGACTTTTATCAAAATTTACTAAAAAATTGATTTTAATTTTCACCAAACAGGAGCTTGTGGAACTAAACAATTACCTATGCTAAAGGATTCTTATCATATGTTTACACCATATTTCTAGCTCTAATTTTCTTTCATTTTAGTGAAAAACCCAATTCCAATGAGGAGTAATTATGAGCTTCACATCTTGTATTTGTTTTCTTCCTTCCACTTTCACTTTTTCCCCAGTTTATGGGCAAGGAAGGAGAGACTTGTTTTTCACAAAAGGTTATAATATTCAATCCCTTTATTTATTTATTCTCTTCCCTTTTTCACTTTACTTTGAAATTGAAATTGAAATTGACCTTTCCCTCTCCTTTTCCTTAGCCTTCACTCCACCATCTCTATTTCTATCTACATCTCTCTCTCTCTGTGCTCCAAAACAGCCAAAATTGTTCGATAATTCTTCCGTCTCTCCCTCATCCCTTAATCATCGAATACTCTTGATTTAAAAGAACGATGAAGGACAACATTAGAGGCATGGGATTAATGAGGAAAGTGATGGCAAAGTTGGCCTCTAACTCGATGGCTCTTAAGGGGAAACTTCGGGCCATTGAAACTCGTTTAATCATATTCTACTTGTTGAGGGACAAGAAGGTTCTTTCTCTTGGCTCCAATGTCTCTCACAAGCTCAAGAATCAGAGTCGGCATGAGAAATACTTGAACCAGACTAATGCATTCGATAACAATACTATGGTCCTTCATAACAGCGTTATCACATCAACCAATAGAGAGCAGTTGGCAAAAGCGCCAGAAGAAGAAGAAGTTAGCTTGATGTGTCCTGTGTTAGATGATGTGAACAACAAGGAGGAAGAAAAAGATTATTCAAATGCTGTGGACCGACATGGAAAGCAGTTAAGACTAGAGGATGATGTCGACCTAATGGCAGACTTGTTCATTCAACGATTCCACCAACAGATGAGATTGCAGAGGCTCAATTCCTGACATGTTCGACATCTAGTTATCCTCTCTGCCTGCCTCTGTTATTTGTTTTTCCTTGTTTTCGCCTTTCTTTCTCTTTCACTTGTTCCTTCTTGTTGTGAAATTTGTTTTCTTCATTTGAATAACCATTAATCATTTCATCTTCTAATAAGTACCCCACGTCTAAGAAACTTTTAGTTTAATCCTTCACTAATCAGCGTGTCGTCTTTAGGCTAATATTACTTATCGATCTCTAGCCACGCTCCTTATTGGTGGAGAAAAATTTAGCTCTTTTTCATTTATAACCGTGAGCAGTACCGAGAGAGACATGACTTTCACGGACCCAAAAAAAAAATTAATAATAATAATAATAATAAAAAAACAGCATTCGATTTGAAAGTGTGGAACAAAGTTGACGAAAAACAAGAAAAAACTAACAAGAAGAATTTCGCCAAAATGGATGGTTTGTCCAACAGAAAGAACAATTCTACACATTTCAACACGAATTCGAAGTTTTCTTCTTTGTTGCTTCCAGTAAAATTGAATATTTTGAATCCAAGGAAACATCAAAAGGGAAGTCACATCCTTCATAAAGAAAAGGAGAAAAACAGATACAACCCCATCAAGCCACACACTTGATACGTTACTTGGAATTCTATACACTACACAAGTTGTGGGTGGTGTGGGTTTAATAGGAGATTATCATGTAAGCCAGCCTTACGATTTGGGAAACATTTCCCCCTAAATAATAATGATCTACACAAACGAAGCAAGAGGCAAACAAGAACAAGTGCAGTTCAGAGGAAATAGGCCGAAGAACCCAAATTAAAAGTTTCCAAAGAATCAGCATCTGAAACTGGAGGCATCTGACTGAAGAGTGGACTGTGTACATAACTAGAATCAAATAGCAGGCTGCTAGGTGACCCTCTTCTTTCCTCGTCGTACCCAAATAGACTACTTGTCCACTCGCCTTGGTTATAATGTCCCTCGTTATGACCTGCTGACTGCATCACACCGGGGATGAAATCTGATGGCAGCTCAGTCCCTCCTGGCGTTTGGTGGGAATTGGACAATGCTTGGTTCATTTCACTTTCAGAAACTTGTTGCTGATAGACAGTGTCACCGAGAGTATAACCCGGCCACATAGAAGAAGGCTCAGAGAGAGAGGATGACGCTTCATTTGGGCAGTCTGCTGCCATCATCAGCTGTGGAGATTGTTCGGAAAAGTGATGGATGTGATTGTTGGTGACAGAAGAATTACCAGCTGCAGGCATGACAACGTCTGACTCCGAGTAACAAAAGTTAGTCCGGGCACCAGAGCCGCGCATAGACAATGCGGCTCTGTCGTAGGCCAGGGCGGCCTCCTCTGCAGTATCGAAGGTGCCCAGCCAATGCCTTTCCTTTGTGGTGGGATCGCGTATCTCTGCAGCATATCGTCCCCATGGCCTCCTCCGAACTCCCAGAAATTTTCCTCCGGTTTGCTTCTGTTTAGCACTGTTGCTGCTCTTGAAGGGGTTCATCATATATATCTTTGATCGCGCAATTAGCTAATACGCCAAGAGATCGAGCTAGAACTTGATGAATGAGTCCTGATGGGTATATCACGATATATACACACACATAAAGAGTGGAATTAATGTGTTAAACCGACTTCCGAATAGTTAAATAGAAAGAGGAAGGTAGTTTGCATGTGAAGGAATTCAAATAAGACGAAGCAATTCCCTTTCGCCTTCCTCTCCATATTCCATGTCTAATATTCTCAATTTCTTTTAAATAATTTCGTTACGCTTACATGCTGATGCTGTTTTATTCACCGTTCATTTCTCGAATGGTTTTGGACTTTTGCCTCCATATGATTGAGTGCATGTGATGTTTGTTCAACGCCAAAAAGCTAATGATTATCATAACTAATATTACAATTTTGTCAATCGGTTGATATTTAAACAACAAGAATAATGCTCCTTATACAGTATTGAGTTACAACATTGGATTACAACTTCTCAAAAGGAAGGTGAGACCCACTATTATTTCAATCGTAGAGCCCACCTCACTTGTGAGAGGTTGTAACCCGTGTGTTGTACATGTAACATTTCCCAAACAACGAACATGATTTATAAATTATAATAGATGTTCGGTTTACTAGGAATGGAAAATAATGGTGTGATGAGTCCAAATCCGTTGTCCTTCTTATACATTTTTAACACCTCAAAGGCACATCACCTTTAGAAGAGGTCAATGTGTAATGTAACAAAATGTCAAAATGTATTAGATGGACAACTATAGAGATGCTAGTTCGACAAAACAATTTTAATTAATTGTTTAAAGGGAATTTCGAATTGAGGATCGTGTTACCTAATCCTTGTTTATATACCCTCATTGAAAATGATTGGTTTTATGAGGAATATCGATGATTGCTCAAACATGCATGTGCATCCAATTTACTCTATCTAAACAATATTCATTCATTTTAATCATCAATCCCATGTTCTTTACTTCTTATTATATTGAAAAAAGTTGATAAAGCGATATTTGTGAGAATTTTCATAAAACGATGTCTTCAAGAGAATTTCTGATTTCTTATTGTAAGGCACAGATACCTTAAGCACCACGAGCCTGGTATATCGAGTCAAAAACTGATTTTTTCCAACTCTCATTAAAACACTTTTTTTTGGGTGCGTGTGTGTGTCCCCATTAACAATCTTGGATCTCTTCATTACATTCTGAACATTAAAGTCATCCCGATCATGGACATCCCCTTCCTTGTTAAAGGAAAATAGATGTGAACATAACTAATCTTAAGAAAGAGCTCTCAATTAAGTAGTTAGAGAGAGATGCTGTCAACCTAGTGAGAGAACCCTCACTTGACCTCCCCTTGCCTTGAGAGATTCTAGTTTGAAATTTCAAATGTTTCCTCCCATCTTGTGGAAGATTTGAATTTGGCCAGTAGGTTTTTGCATTGTCCATGAAAGATTCAAGTTTCTCATCCCTCTTTGATTATTTGAATTCGTTCAGCACTATGTTCAAAGCCATTGAAGATTAAAGTTTACTCTTGATGCAAGTTTACCTTTTTTGGGTATTGTTTTCGAACTTTCAATCCCCTTGGAAGATTTATAATCGGCCCGCAGGTTGGACGGTTGAATCCGGCCAGAAGTTCAAGTTTTGTTCTAGCAAGATTCAAGTTTTACAAGTAGCAGATTTTTACCTGTTTTGGGTATAGATTTCAAATTTTCATTCCCCCCTGAATTTGTCTAGCTGTTTTTTACCAAAATTCCAGCACTTTCTACTTTCTACAGTGCCTGCAGCTGAATAATATCCTATTTTGGCAAAATATTCATAATTTTTTGAATTTTGTCGGCCAATATTCACAAAACTTGCCTACCGCCAACCTGTAGACTTTTCACTCATATTCTAGTCAACAGCCTGCTTGCCGACATTTCAACCTTTTTCTTCAACAGCCAATCATAAAAAATAAAAAAAGAAGGAAAATAGATGTCAGACTGACTCGAGTGCAAGTCAATGCTCGGTGTTGAGGATGTCTAAACGTCTCATTCAACTTACATGAAGGACATAATTTAGTTGATACTATTGTCATTGGTAATAATCAATACCTACACGGCCAAACAATGCCTTTGCAGTATATAAACTCTCTGTTCATGCAACGACATTACTCACTCAGAGAACACAAAACAACTACTACTATACCTCAAGGTTCCTTCTGGAAAAACAATTTTTCACTCCAGCTGCATGATTTTTCTCATGTGAATCATAAGCATTCATCTTCCTCGATCAACCAGTTGCCTCTAATCATGAGCTCAAATAAGAAATTCGTGTTTCTAAAGATTCAAGAACTTGACATTTCTCATCCCCAACAGTGATGGAACAATATACTTCTTAGCTAGTCGTGGTTTCTATTCAAATTCCTCTCAACACTTTTTTTGATAGGTCCTCTCAACACTAAGAACTACTTGTTAGCTAACCTGCTTCTATTCTCAAATGAAGTACGTTTAAATTGACTTGCACAGTGCAGAGGAATACTAGAGAAATTATTAACTCATTGTTTAAATATCCCTACACTTGAAAATTAGTTACTAATAAAATGTTCTCCATACAACATTGTATAAAGCATAACAAAATTGAGGGACATCAGATATTTCACAATCAGGCATGAATTGAGGTAGCTTGATAAGTACAAATTTTCCCAGGATTTTCAAACTCCAGAAACATATAGGACACTCGCACTAGCAACGTCTAATTACAACGGCTAGGTTTCTATTAGTTCTACTCTCCACTGTATCTTCCAATTTGTACTTCTGGTCAAAACTATATTGTACAACAAAAGATCACCATGTATAGGACAATCAAAGTACCAAACAAATAAAATGTAGTATATAATTTATGCATTGACAGAATCCAGCAATAATTTGAATAAATTAAAGACCGTGTGAGATATGATTATGTCAAAATTTCTTCAATTTAAAAAAAAAAAAAAACTTGACCACTCTCTTTTTGACACCTCAACTGTATGTAAACAGTTGTGTAACTTCATTATGTACAAGTAACATTATTCAAAGACATTCTAGCATATGATGACAAAGTCTTTATGAGTACCATGAAGAATTTAACATGAAAAAGCAGATCTTTAAAATACAGAATCCTAACATCCAAGATTTGCAAGGACCGTTAGAACCTCAATTAGGTGTTGTCAAAACCTCGAGCAACAAAGCAATCCTAAAAACTTGTATCACTACCAAATAATAGCAACAAAACAGAGCAACTACATTTCAGTAGATAATTCCAAGTTCAGGACACTACAATTAAAAGAACAATGACAAGGTCTTATTCCCAACAATTAGGGTTCATGCATAAGTTCTTTAACTCTATTCCTATTGGAAGATCAAATCCAACAAGATCTGTTGTAATCACAAATTGGTCATGTTAATTTTGGCGTTCCATGAAAAGTAATAAATCACATACTGTCTCTAGCATAGCATATTATGTTCACTGGACAAATGTGAAATTATAATGCCGGCTACCATTTTGTGGCAAGATGTTATGCACCATGCATGTAAAATCAAAGAAGAAATTGGGAAATAAAATAGATCATTCATGCCTTGAACGGAACCCCAAGCCAAGGTATTTTCAAACTAGTAAGTTGCCCAGTATTAAAAACCCAAGAAATTATAACAGATACTTCAAAACAATACGTTAAAATGAAAACTACTGGCAAAAATAGCATCAAATTACTTAACATTCATGGCATGGGATAAGTAGCACCTCGCACAGAGAAACCCTTCCCCAAGTGCACTTCCTAAGTTGAGACGAGACATAAACTAACTGGAAAATGCTAAAAACTAAAAAATTCATTGGAAACCGAGTCTGAATAATAAAATGTAATAGTTGACCAGTAGTCTCAGTCCCCCTTTCTCCTGAAAGAGCATCCCTCGGTGAGCCGTGCACGACCACCAGTGGGCTGGCATAACACCGTCTGGCAGTTACCACAGACGACAACGGTTTGGGAGTGGCTAAAAACAGTGGTTCTGCACCAAATTTTATTTCAAAAAAACACACATCAGATGATCCATTAAACACCCACAAAATAAATAAATAACATCGGCGCAATAAATAAAACTCGAATAACTTACATGTTGAAGCAACCCTGACATTTCACATCCTAATGGAAAAAACAAAGAAAAGAGAAGATCAAGAGGTGTACAAAAGATATTGAATAAACAACACACAGTGGTAGAAATTACCATGAAGAAAGAATTGGGGGACTGAACAAGACGCTTGAGCTTGTGCTTCTTCTTCTCCAATTCCAATGGAGGATGCAGCAAATCGACATCGTTCGGGAGAACCTATATATCCATGAAACCACACAAACAAACAAAATTTTCAGTAAATACATAGAAAATAGCTTCAACCGTTTACATATTTCATACTGAAATTGATCGTATTAGAACCCACCATTTTGATTAACCGAGGTAAGAATCCTTCGACGGCGGCGCTTGAGAGATCAGAAAATGCTTCACACTGAAAGAAGGGATTCTAACCTAATTGACATCGCTCATTTTATAAGACCGAGGAGACTGGGCTGTAAACTGGTAGTCCACCAATTTTTTAGCCCAGAAAAGGAACCTCCGCCGAGTTTAGGACAGACCACATGCTCAGGAGAGATTTGGGCCAGTCCTATGTATAATTTTTTAAGGAGAGATTTCAAAGGGAAAATTAGACCAGATACTTGTTTTTCCCCTGAAAGTGGAAAATACCCTGCCTTTTAAAATGGGAAAAATGCATAAATCAAGCATTATCTATCCCAAAATAAAAAATCAGGCCCTAAATTTGAAAATTATAAAAATCAGATTTTTCATTAATTAATTAATTATATTTCACAATTTTGCTAAATTAAATATTTAATTGTAATATAATATAATTAACCCACCCTACCCCACCTCCACCGCCCCCACTGCTCCCGCGACCGTTCCGGTGGCAACTCTACTCCGGCGATTGTTCCCCAGCCGTGCTTAATTCCGGCGACTATTCCGCCGCAGTTTAATTTCGACAACTACTCCGATTTCGAGTGTTGTTAAGGTCACAATTATATGCAATTCGATCACATATATCTTATTAATTAGTGAAAAATTAATTTTTGGTCATAGTTTATCAAATTTTGGTCACAAACAGACTATTTTTCGACCGCGAATCAAATTTTTACAGGTCACATTATTCATTGGTCACGAATTGAAAATTTTATTGGTCACAGTTCATTTAAACTTTTATTGGTCACAATTTAAATTACAACTTAATAAATTTGTGAGTCACAGTCACAATTTTTAGGTCACATATTATTTATTTGTAAAAAATTAACCAATTATTGGTCATAGTCAACTAAATCATTGGTCACAGACACACATCTCATCTCATCTCATCCCACCCACAACTAGTGCTACAAATAAAAATAAATTATAGGTCACATGTTGAAAAAATCAAAACTTTTATTGGTTACAACTCGATTACAACTTTAAAAATTTTGGGTCACAGTCACAATTTGTAGGTCATATATTATTTATTTTGTCAAAATTTAACCAATTATTGGTCACAGCCAACTAAATCATTGGCCACAGACACACCCCAATCTCATCTCATCCAACCACGACCACCGCCACGCACAAAAAAAATTGCAATCACTGAAATCCAACAAAACCACCGCCTTAAATCCCAAAAAAAAAAAAAAAAAATCTTCTAATCCATCGGCACAACTACAACCGTCGCAAATCATAACCGACAAACTTCATCGAAGCTAAACCTAAACATTACTAACTCAGAATTCGTGTCCCACTTGCAGCCTAAGCTGTTGGATGAGAAACAGACGACTATCTACAAAAGAGCCGTTGACAAAAATTATCACCTGAAGATGAAGGCCTTGCGATTCATATTCAGTGAGATAAATTAGAAATTTCCTATCACGCCATTTACTGCGGCTGTTGGGAGACCAGTAAGATGAAATCCACTATCCACCAAATCCACCAGCGTGTGGGCACTGGCGCGCCAGACCGCCATTACCAGTAAGGCTCGCCACCTCTCCATCACATAGACCTGTTGTAGATCCACCCCCACGGACTGCCATAGCCAAGCATCGCACGCTAGTGCCACTTCTCTGCTGTTCTTTCCCTGCTGTTGCTCTTCGCGACGTGAGCACTGCGACGACGTGAGTGCTGGGAGATGTTGTCTCTAGTGAGGTGTTTGGCAAAGAGAGAAGGGATGAAAGAGAAGAACAGAAGAGAGAGAGTAGACGGAAGAGGGAGGAGGGTTTGGGTTTAGGATTGAAATCTGGTGGGGTAGGTGGTATGGTCGATATATAAATCAATTTGATTTACAATATCATTATTAATATTAATTGTGAAATTAAAACCTAATTTTTGATTAAATAAAGTTAAAACCTGATTTTTAAAAACTTCAAATTTAACTCCTGGTTTTACGTAATTTTCACTTTTAAAATTTTAAGATAAGAAAAACGAGGGCATTAAAGTTTTTTTTTTTAAACTACGTTTTATTTAGGGCTTGTTTATCCCATTTTTTGGTCCTAAGTAGAAGAAATTGGACCGTCACTTTTTCACAAATCCATTTTTTTATTTTATTTATCTGACAGTAACATGACATTTCACTGTAGCATTTATTATTTTCCTCTTCACTTTTCCTACCCTACCCTTCTTTCCAAAAACACTACTTTTCCCTACTCTCCTCACTATTCGACAGAAGAGTGGGCATAAAATGAATTACAAAAATAATAATTCCAGGTATTTAAACCAGTGACGTAAATGATGGGACCCATGATGTGATGCAAAAATGAATTCTACAATTTCAGAATGGGAAACAAACAAAGCCTTGCTATTTTATCGTGGAATTAATACAAAATAAGATTGAAGCCCAAAGCCAAATAAATGAGATTCAGCTCCACCAAACTTAATCCCATTCGCCACTATATCCTTCTTTACCGTGTAAAAGGACATTATTAAAAAATAAACTGTTTGGTTGCTTACAATGGACAAATCCTCAGAATTTCCACATGGTTCTTCGTTAACAGTTCCTGCTGAATAATACCATGTTCTTGCTTAATAATATAACTTCAAATCAAGGAACTGCAAGCATATGGGAGAAAGTAGGCACAAAGGGAAGATTTAAAGGCGGAAAAAATATGATGGCGGGACATCAATGTATGAGAAACTACATTAAGTGGTATAGAAGAGAACTAGGTAGCATGGAAATTTTAAAAATTTTGATTTAGAATAAAACCTAAAAACTCCATTGTAGACTTTATCCCTTCCACTAAAAGGCTAAGAAGACAGGCATTAATCAAACAAAAAGGGAGATATGCAACTTTTCAACTGTATAAATATTTTTCGAAGTAACGCAATGCTCTATACACAACTTTAACTTTTCTTACTTTTATGAATTTCTGTCACTTTCAACTTATAGGTGGTTGTATTCCGAAATGAAGTTATGTTCTATGTTTAACTAATAAAAGCGAAACATGATAAAAAAGTGACATGATGTACAAGAAAGTCAATCTTTCTTGGATCTAAATTAAGGTTTCGAATGGTGTTATTTGCTTCGTTGGGTTTTATCACTTTTTCGAATTTGTCACTTTTTTAAAGATTTGTTACTTTCAACTTATAGGATGTTATGTTCCTAATATGACGTTATATTCTATATTTTGTTAATAGAAGTAAAATATAATCACAAAGAAATAATATTTAGAAGAAAATCAACCAATTTTGGATCTATTCTAAGGTTTTGATGAAATACGGTTAATGCTTTTTTGAGTGTTTATGATTTTTTTTTAACTATTGTCACTTTTTTGGATTTATTTCACTTTCAGCTTGTTGGGTGTTGAGTTCCTAAAATGAAATTGTTTTCTATTTTTAGTCAATAGAAGTGAAACGTAATCATAAAGAAAGCTGGAAAAGTACGAAACAGTTATACTGATAGAGGAATGTAGAGCCATTTTTCAAAAGACTCCTCCAGAAATTGAAAGATCCGGGTAGCTTCACTATTCCTTGCATAATAAGTGGTTCTTCCCTTGGTGGAGCACTTTGTGTTCTTTAAGCTAGCATCAATTTGATGACCCTATCTTTATTCAAGAATTTGGGTCTTGGAGAAGTGAAATTAACCACCATCATCGCATACCCCAGAGGGATCATTGAAGATGTGCTGGTTAAAGTTGACAAGTTCATCTTCTTGGTGAACTTTATAGTTTTGGACCCATTAATTCTTAGTCGATCATTCTGGGCAACTGGAAGAGCTTTGATTGATGTCCAAGGAAGAAAATTGGCACTGTGAGCTTATGAAGAGCAAGTCATGTTCAACATTTATCAAGCTAAAAAATCCCAGAAAAGGTCGATACTTGCCGTATTGTCCAATCAATTGATGTAATCGTGGCTAAAAATTACGAAAGAGAATTGTTCTATGATTTTCTAGAGCAATATATTGCAACTAGTTACTCAAAGATTGATGCAACTGCTACTGAAAGTTACATAGGGAGCAAGGATGTGGTTGACTTTCTTTTGGCTTGTGAATCGTATCCACTTGAAGAAAAAAGAACTATATAGAAGAGCCTTTGAAACCTCTTGACATTGTTGAATCAAAAGAGGTTTTGAGTACTATACCGGAGTTGAAGCTGCTCCTAATCCTCATGGCCATGCTATTTTGAAGAAAAATCTAAAGCCAAAGAAAAAGTTTCAAAACATGAAAGAAGTGCCTCTTGAAGATCCAACCTAAGGCTTCACAATATCAAGCTAATAATATTAAAGAAAGGCTTCTTGAGAAGCAATCCAAACTTTTTATCTCTTATCTTTAGATAATTAGTTATAATTTTATTGATATTTTCTTAATTAGTTTGCTTTTTCTTGTAGGTTAAATCTCAAGTTTGAAGGAGAAAATAGGATAAACATTCAACATCCATCAATCTACCATTGCCTCACCATGATGCAGATAGCAATGAAGACAACCATTACTTTTCACTCAGGGAAGTCCTCCTCCTTTTTTCTTTAATTTCACATTGGAAACAATGTTTAGTTTAAATTTGGGGGTGAAATATTAATTGTCTAATTGTTTAGTTGTTTTTAAATGTTTTTGTGTAATTTTTTTTTAATAATTTTGTGTGATTTGTGTGCTTGTTTAAAAAAAAAAAATATATAGTGAGTTAGATAGCATTGTCAGTCATGATGTAGATAATTGAGAACATGTATTAGTTTATGAATTGTGAATAAATTGAGTGTTTTTGTTAAATTTTTCCTTACTCATGTAAAATATATTTATGTACAAGAATTTATTGTAGTGTTGTACAGGAATAGGTTAATTCGCATGGTTTAGATTGAAATAAAGAACTTAGATGCTTAATCCCAAAACCTATTGTTCACTACATCCTTAACTTTATATAGCATAATTTAGGATGTTTGAGTCGGTGTAAGATATGATTTTAGTCTTGTAGTGATTCCACGCGTATTGAAAAAATATTGGTGTGGAGTGTCTTTAACTATCAAGCATGAATTAAGTGATGACAGTATGCTAAGGATCTAACCTCATGCTGACACCTTTTTAATCGAGTTAGTAATTTCGTTGGGTATCTCGAAATCCCTTTTGGCCTTTAATGTTGGGGAGTTATC